TTTATATAGTTACACACATATTTACGTCTGTTTACAACACAATTTCCATTTCCATTCCCATTCTTAATTCATATTCTTTCTGATCTCTATCTTACGCTCACTTTGAGGTTGAAAATCTACACTTTCTCTCTTCTAGACGAGCTTTCTCTGTTCTGATTTTTTCTCGAGTCTAACCAATAGTACATCTTATCCCAAACTTCGTAATACTCTGTTTCATCCTTGTCTTTAATTTCTAATGTTAATCTATCCATCTCTGCACATATCAAAAAATTTCTTCTTTCTTCTTCTTCTTCTTCTTCTTCTTCTTCTTCTTCTTCTTCTTCTTCTTCTTCTTCTTCTTCTTCTTCTTCTTCTTCTTCTTCTTCTTCTTCTTCTTCTTCTTCTCCTCCTCCTTCTCCTCCTCCTCCTCCTCCTCCTCCTCCTCCTCCTCCTCCTCCTTCTTCTCCTCCTCCTCCTCCTCCTTCTCATCGTCATCATCATCATCATCATCATCATCATCATCATCAATAATAATAATAATAATAATAATAATAATAATAATAATAATAATAATAATAATAATTCACTCTGTGGTCCATAGCTAAGCAACTGGTTGTAAGCCGAGGACCACACATCCAAATTTCGCCTTTGACCCCAAACAAGCCCAGGGCCTCTTTTTTTCCCACCTTAAACATCGGAGAACGAAGAATTAAAAAACAGAAATCCGAGCAAAAAGGAAAGGCAGATGTTTGCAACGCAACGCTCGCAACTGCCAAGCTAAAACTAATTGCCAACGTAATTTTGCACCGAGCTTTTAAAAGACAATATGTACGGTTGCAGGCGGGCGAAGAGGGAAGCGGAAAGCCAATTATTTCAAAACCTTGAGATTGAATGCAGATCAAAAGGTGCAGATAAATATAGAAGAGAGAGCAAGCTTGCCGGATGAGGCGTGCGAACAATGCCGCGATTTTCTTCGCCGGCGCGGTGGTAAAAGCTGCTTTCAATACCAGACATCAATGACAAGCTGGAGGCCACAAAAGACAACTTTGCAGTGATGATTAAGTACCGCATTATCCTGGATGGGTTTTCTACCTAACGGGGAAGGCGAGGGTGGTGGTGAGGAGGAGAGAAATACTAACAAAAGCAGCATTGAGGGAAAAGTGGAAGAAGGATGAGACAGTTACGGTTTATGGCACTGCAATGTGAAGGACACAAGAGGCAAAGGTGGGGAAGGGACCTTGAAATCCATCATCCTGGGTCGGATGGGCTTCTCAGCAGCCTCTCCAGGTTCCAGTTGAGAGGCTCCAGTTTCGTCTTCCTTTGTGCGAAGAGCTCAGAGGGAACACAGTTGGCTGGGAAGACGGCAGCTCGGAGAAACACAAAACGTTCCCGGCTCAGAATGTGACTCGCTCAAATCAATCTGAATAGAGCTGGAAGGGACCTTGGAGGTCTTCTAGTCCAACCCCCTGCTCTAGCAGGAGATCCCTAAACCATTTCATACAGGTGATTGATCAGCCTTTTCTTAAAACCCTCCGGTGATGAAGCACCCGCAACTTCTGAAGGCAAGCTGTCATACTGGTAAATTGTTCTCACAGTTCGGAAGTTTCTCCTTAGTTTTAGGTTGGATCTAGGCTAGCTTGGTCGCTCAACAGCAGGACACGGGTGAAGCGGGCACGGCAGTGCCTGCGTTTTCTGCATCACATGAGAAAAGCACATCTTCCTTCCCCTGTCCTTACCACTTTCTACAGACGGACGATCAAGAGCATCCTGTCGTATTGCATCACTGCCTGGTTTGGAAGCATCCCTGCTTCGGACAGGAAGGCGGTGCGGAGAGTGGTGAGGACGGCAGAAAAGATTATTGGTAATTTACTTCCTTCTATCCAGGACATGGCAGATAAGCGATGCTTGAGCAAGCAGGGTCCCCAAGATTGTCTGGGACGCTACACACCCTCTTCACGACCTGTTTTCCTTGTTACCTTCTGGGAGGAGTGGGCTTCGTGGTTACCCGGAGAACATCCAGATTCAGCCCCAGTTCTGTTCCATACAGCATCAGCCTTGTGAATGCTCAAGTTTCCTGTTTCCACTACAGCAGAGGTCCCAAACCTTTTGGGCACCAGGGACCGGTTCCGTGGACCGAGGTTTTTCCCGTGGACCAGAGTGGGTGTGGTTTTGTGAGGTGCCTGCATCCCGCGGATGGGGCTTTGCCTGTTTGTGCGGACTGGTTGCTGGCATGCCACCAGGGGTTGGAGACCCCTGCACACAGTATGTGTTCAAAATGGACAGTGATTCATATATCACCGGAATGTCCCCATTGTTGAGCAAAGCAGTTGTTAAGGGAGTCACGTCCCATGATTTGTCTTTTTTTCCACGGTTGTTAAGGGAATCACTGCAGTCGTTAAGTGAATCACAGTCATTAAGCGAACCTGGCTTCCCCCATTGACTTTGCTTGTTGGAAGGTAGTTCAGAAGGTCGCAAATGGTGATCACGTGATCAGGGGATGCTGCAACTCTTGTCAATACATGCTGCTTGCCCAGTGGGTGGATTGTGGTTCTTGGTGCTCTCTGATCATGGTTGGTTTCTTGCAGATGTTTCATTATGTCATTAGATAATATCATCAGAGATAGATAGACAGACAGACAATCCAGGAGATGATAGATAGATAGATAGATAGATAGATAGATAGATAGATAGATAGATAGATAGATAGATAGATAGATAGATAGATAGATAGATAGATAGATAGATGTAGGTAGGTAGGTAGGTAGGTAGGTAGACAGACAGACAATCCAGGAGACAGATCGAGATGATAGATAAGATAGATAGATAGATAGATAGATAGATAGATAGATAGATAGATAGATAGATGGATGGATGGATGGACGGACGGACGGACGGACGGACGGACGGACGGACGGACGGAGGGAGGGAGGGAGGGAGGGAGGGAGGGAAGGAGATAGACAAACAATCCAGGAGATAGATCCAGAAGATGATAGAAGATAGATAGATAGATAGATAGATAGATAGATAGATAGATAGATAGATAGATAGATAGAGAGATAGATAGATAGATAGATAGATAGATAGATAGATAGATAGATAGATGATGGAGGGAGGGAGGGAGGGAGGGAGGGAGGGAGATAGACAGACAATCCAGGAGATAGATCCAGAAGATGACAGATAGACAGACAATCCATTGATAGATCCAGGAGATAGATGATAGATAGATAGATAGATAGATAGATAGATAGATAGATAGATAGATAGATAGATAGATAGATAGATAGATGATAGATAGATAGATAGATAGATAGATAGATAGATAGATAATGGATGGAAGGATCGATAGACAAGAGAGACATGGAATGATTGTTACTCTCTAAACTTGGCTGTTTTCTTGCAGACGTTTCATTACCTAATTAGGTGACATCAACAGTGGCAGAAGGGAGCGTGGGATTTGCCGTCATATTATATATAAGTGGTTTCCCCTGTCCATGTTGGCAAGAGCATTCTTGGTGATTCCTCGATATGGCTGCTGTTTACTGATTGTTTGTCTGAGCTGGTAGTTCTCTGACTGGGGTAAACAGAGAACAAACCCCACTCCCTGCTAGTGCTGATGATGTTATCTAGTTAGGTAATGAAATGTCTACAAGAAATCAACCAAGCTCAGAAAGCACCAAACACACACACACACCCAATAAGAGATGAAAAAAAACAGCACTTGGGGCAGATAATGGGGGCACGGTAGGGGAGAGGGGGGCTTCCCAAAAGTCAAGATGGCATCACAACTTGCAATTGAAGCCCCACCCCTTTTGAACACACACTACAACACAAGCGACAAAAGACTCAAGGTCTGCAAGATGTCAACCCTGCTAACATCTGATGTTTTTTTTGCTTTGACAACAGTTGGAGATGCAACCATTTTCTTCTTATGTTTTACTCTTAGAGTTAGATGATGCTGGGAGAAGGAATGTGCATGAGAGTTTAGCTAGACATAACAATACTGGACCTAGCGTGAGAACCAAGGTTGTTGAAATAAGAGATGATAAGAATTGGCGGGCTGGAGAACTGGAGGGAAAGCCTGCATTTCAAGCTAATTGGAGAATGTGATTTATGATTGTTAATTGGAGGAGGTAATTGTGCTTTGATACTATGTGCTGGGGGGGGGGAATCCAGTTTTTGGCTTCGATTGTGTTAGTGTCCACGCTATGCTTCTCTAATAAAGATTCTTTAAGGTAAACAATGCCTCGAAGTTCTCTGAAGAGTTTCATCTGTGGGAACCATGACACAAGTAGTCTTGGCAAGTAAAAAGATATAGACATTTTTTCCCATCTAAGGAGTTTGTGTGTGTGTGTCTTCAGAAGCTGACCAATGACAGCCAATCTCAGCTATTAAAATGAGAACAATCAGGAAAGCAAGCTCCAATATAATAAAAATATTTTATATGAAACCGACGAGAAACCACATAAGTTATGCAAAAAGGAGTTTAAGGAACCTCCGTTGCAACAACAACGGTGAAAAGGTAATTCTCAGGAATAGATAATAATTAGAACAGTGTTTCTTAGCCTGGGCCTTTTTAAGAGGGGTGGACTTCAACAGGGCTGGCTGGGGAATTCTGGGAGTTGAAGTCCACCTATCTTAAAGGAAACTCCTAATTTTGACCAACATATCGGAACCACGATACCTAATTTATAGAAATCAAATCTAATCCAGCTGCTGAAATGTTTCGGAAATCCAGATTGTGCTAATTCCAGCCCCCAACAGACACACACACCCCCCCTGGCTTGTCTCTCTCTTCCTGCCAGATGTTCTAGATCCCACCAATCTCCTAGTGAGAAACAGCTGCCTTTTTTTTTTCATCCTCAGCCAGAGATGCCATTTGTGGGTCCATCTTCAACCCTCCCTCCCCTCCATTGCGGAGTAAACTACAATGCAATAATATCCACCTTGTTGCCCAGGACGAAAACCAGGACGGTGTTTTGTGGGTGTGCAGATGTGAAAGAATATTACGCAAGGACCAGAATTCAAAGTCTCTCCCCTAGGCCGGGGAACATAGGAAAAATCTCAGAATTGGGGTCCAAATTCAAATTGTTTCGACACGGCACCCATCCTTGGCTGGAAAAAATCCAACGCCGAGAATTTTTAAGGTGCCTTTTTTTCGGCAGGTCCTGGGTGTCAAAGAGGCCGGTCAGCTGGTAACCACAAAGGCGGAGGTGCGACCGAGGGGTAAGGTTGTCGCCATATTGCCGGCGGGACACGTTCTTCCTCTCCGAATCCTCGCCAGGACGTCCACCTTGAGTTCGACGCAGAAGGAGAGCGAGGATAAAGGCGGCAGCCTTGGAGACGGAACGTCATCGCCAGCGGCATTTTAAGATGCGTCTTTTCCCTTTTTTAAGAAGAGGAAAAAACAGATTATTAGTATTAATAGTTTATTATAGTGAAATTTTTGTTAGTTTTAATTATATGGTATTATGATTACTTTTAGTAATAGTATTGTTTAACAATATGGATATTCTATTGTTTAATAATTAGGATACTAATTTGTTTATGTTTTAATTATTATTATTATTATATTGATGTTAAAGGGGAGTTAAAGCGCATTATGGACTTGGTTATTTATATAGTTGGTTAATGTTAGTTAGATTATGATTATTATATTTGTAACTCTGTATTTAGCTCTGGGAAGTGGGGGAGGGAGAGGGGGGGATTAGGGTGGGTGGGTTTAGGGGTTTATATTGTAATTTTTATAAAACTTTTCAATAAAAAAAAAAAGAGGAAAGCAGGAATCCAATCAGCGCACGGGCAACTTTGGGAAGGAACAACAACTGTGTCTGGCTATCGGACGGCCGCAAAAGGTTTTAGCTGGGACTTGCCCTGCAGATCACATGCAAACTTTTGTCGGTCCAAAATGCTGTGACCTGTTTGTTAGCTGGCAGTTGCATACAGAAGCCTTTTGTCCTAGAGACCCTGGTGGCTTTGGATGGGCTTCCAGACCATCTAGTGGTGAAGGCAGCAGACTAGAAAATGGGAAACCGTGAGTTCTAGTACTGTCATAGGCATGGAAGCCGGCTAGGTGACTTTGGGCCGATCACCAGGAGATGGTGAGTTCTAGTCCCGCCTTAGGCATGGAAGCCAACTGGGTGACTGTGGACCAATCATCAGGAGATGGTGAGTTCTAATCCCACCTTAGGCATGGAAGCCAGCTAAGTAACTTTGGGCCAATCACCAGGGGACAATGTGTTCTAGTCCCGCCTTAGGCATGGAAGCCAGCTGAGTAACTTTAGGCCAATCACTAGGAGACAGTGAGTTCTAGTCCCACCTTAGGCATGGAAGCCAACTGGGTGACTGTGGGTCAATCACCAGGAGACAGTGAGTTCTAGTCCCGCCTTAGCCATGAAAGCCAGCTGAATAACTTTGGGCCAATCACCAGGAGACTGTGAGTTCTAGTTCCACCTTAGCCATGAAAGCCATCTGAGTGACTTGGGCCAATCACTAGGAGACGGTGAGTTCTAGTCCCGCCTTAGGCATGGAAGCCAACTGGGTGACTGTGGGCCAATCACCAGGAGACGATGAGTTCCAGTCCCGCCTGAGGCACGGAAGCTGACTTGCAGTCTCCTGACCATAGCAGGGCACAAAGTCCTGGTGCCAAACTTTGATTTAAAAAAACCTTCGGGTTGTGTTGTTCGTGGGGACGGCTGCACAGAACCTGGCGCTGGGTGTTGGGGAAAATAGTCACCCTTGGGGTCTCTCTACTGTCGTTATAAAGGAGATCCTGAAAGTCTGGATATTTTTTATGCCATGCTTTTTAATCTTGGTTGGCCTGAGCTCATAATAAAGCTTAAAATCCCTTTCATTGATTGGAGGATTCATTGTCTCTGGATCTACAAGATCAAATTGCCTGGGCACCTGATCGCTGCCCTGACCCTTGGCAAAACAGGACGTTGGTGCGTTAAAATTTCACAAGTTCAACCGCCCATATGCTCACACTCCAGGCCAGGGGTAGACAACCTTGGTTCTTTTATGACTCGTGGACTTCAACTCCCAGAATTCCCGAGCCGGCATGGCTCAGCATGGAAACCTCTCCATTTCTCTTCAGCATGGCTGCCTCAGGAATTCTGGGAGTTGAAGTCCACGAGTCATAAAAGAGCCAAGGTTGCCTACCCCTGCTCCAGGCGGATAGCTAGATCATTTCCAAAAGAAGGATAAACAGTAATGGGATTTTATTCCAGCCGGTCTTCAACGCAGCTAGTCCTCAAGATACAACCACTCGTTTAGGGACAGTTTGAAGTTACAATGGCATTAAAAAAAGAATGAGTTATGACCGTTTTTCACACTTAATGGCCACTAAAGCCTCCCCCACGGTCACGAAGATCAAAATTCAGGCGCTGGCCAACTGGAATGTACAGGTAGTCCTTGACCTACGACCACAATTGAGCCCAAAATTCCTGTTGCTAAGCGAGACGTTTGGCAAGTGAGTTTTGCCCCATTTTACGACCTTTCCCACCACAGTCGCTAAGTGAATCACTGCAGTAGATAAGTTAGTAACCCGGTTGTTAAGTTGGCAACTGACTTGTACTTATGACGGTCGCAGCGTCCTGGGGTCACGTGATCCCCTTTTGGGACCTTCTGACAAGCAGAGTCAATGCAGGAAGCCAGATTCACTTAACAACCGGGTGACTAACTTAACAACCGCAGCGATTCACTTAACGACTGTGGCAAGAAAGGTCGTAAAATGGGGCAAAACTCACTTAACAACTGTCTCACTTAGCAATAGAAATTTTGGGCTCAGTTGTGGTTGTAAGCCGAGGACTGCCTATATAGTCTTTTATTTTGTAAAGTTATCGGTTCCTGAAGAACGAAGTACAATTTTGAATTAGGTCATATTAACCCCTCCTCTTGCAAAAATTTCTATTTAATTCCAGGGGCTTTTTTTTTTGTCCCGTTTTACGACATTTCTTGCCACAGTTGTTCAGTGATTCACTGCAGTTGTTAAGTGAGTAGCACGGTTGTTAAGTGAATCCGGCTTCCCCGTTGACGTTGCTTGGCAGAAGGCCGCAAAAGGGGATCGCGGGACCCCCGGGGGCACAGCAACCATCATACGTATGAACCCGTTGCCTAGCATCTGAATTTGGATCGCCTGACCGTGGGGAGGCTGCAAAGGTCCTTAACTGTGAAAAAGGGTCCTAAGTCACATTTTTCAGCGCCGCGGTAACTTTGAACGGTCACTAAACGACACTGTTGTAAGTCGAGGACTACCCCTGTTTATGACAGTTGCCCTTTCCCCGGGTCACGTGATCACCATTTGTAACTTTCCCAGCCAGCTTCCGACAAGCAAAGTCAACAGAGGAAGCCAGATTCGCTTAATGACTAAATCAGGGGCGTCAAACTCAATTTCATTGAGGGCCGCATCAGCATTGTGGTTGCTCTCGGGGGGGGCGGGGGGGCGGCCAGGATGGGCGCGGCCTACTGGGTGGGCGTGGAGGGAGTGGGTGTGGCCTACTGGGTGGGCGTGGCCAGCTCTACATCATTCGCGTCAAGGGTGCCTGTGGGGGCCTGGGCAGGAGTGGGACAGATCTGGGGGTCTCTGGCAGAAGGGGGTGGGACCGGGGCAAGCGCCAAGGCATGGTCCATTTCTTCATTCCTCACAAAGGGTGACACCCCCCCCAGCATGCACCCAGGGGGTGGGCCCAACACAGCAGGGGCTGGTTCCTCGCTGTTCCCGGACGGCCTTGTGGAGCTAAGACTGAATGTGTTTCAGCATAGATGGCCACCACAAAACTGTACATTGGCTCCCGGCCGGCCTGGGCCAGGGCCAAGGCAGCGGGGGCCGTTCCCTCACTGTTTCCAGGATGGCTTCGCGGGCCACAGGAAACCACTTTGCGGGCCCCATCTGGCCCCCGGGTCTTGTGTTTGACATGTTTGGACTAAATGATGCATTTAACATCTGCAGTGATTATCCCAAAGGTGCTTTTTTCAAGAGGCAACTGGACTTCTTTGTTTTTCTTTGAAGAGTTTTCGCTTCTCATCCATTGGAGCTTCTTCAGCTCTGACTGGATGGTGGGGAATGGAAGGATTTATACTCCTTGCAGACAGCTAGTCATTTGCCTTCTTCTAGAGGGTCGTTGAGGCCACCTGGAGGTTTACCTGTGTCCTCAGGGTCACCTGAGTGGTGCAAATATGTGTGGAGCCTTCTTGGCTGCAGGAAGGATTTATACTCCTTCTAGACAGCCGGTCATTTGCATTCTTTTATAGAGTCGTTGAGGCCACTTGGAGTTTTGTCTGTGTCCTCAGGGTCACCTGAGTGGTGCAAATGGGTGTGGACCTGCTGAGAGGACTGTGTTGTAGACTGGAGACGGATGATGTTGTATCCCTTCCCCTCTGTTGAGGAAGGGCTGTTTTTAATTTTGACACCGATGGCCTCTTTGCTTCCTCTTTCAAGCCAGCGGACACAGATAAACCTCCAAGTGGCCTCAACGACTCTCTAAAAGGATGCAAACGACCGGCTGTCTGCAAGGAGTATAAATGCTTCCATTCCCCACCATCCCAGTCAGAGCGGAAGAAGCTTCTTGGAGGAGAAGCGAAACGTCTTCAAAGATTAAAAAGAAAGTCCAGTTGCCTCTTGAAAAAGCACCCTTGGGATAAACAATGACCTGGAATGATGGAGAACCTCCGTGGACATCTGCAGTGATTGATTTAGCAGCGGCAAGGAAGGTCGTAAAATGGGACAAACTAACTGAGCAGCAGAAAATTTGGGCTTAATAATAATAATAATAATAATAATAATAATAATAATAATAATAATAATAATAATAATAATAATAATAATAGTAATAAAAAAGTTGGAAGGGACCTTGGAGGTCATCTAGTCCAACACCCTGCTCAACCAGGAGACCATATACCATTTCAGACAAAGGGCTGTCCAATCTCTTCATAAAAACTTCCAGTGTTGCAGCATTCACATCTTCTGGAGGCAGGTTGTTCCACTGGTTAATTGTTCTAACTGTCAGGAAGTTTCTCCTTAGTTCTAGGTTGTAAGTCGAGGAGTACCTGTAATAACCCACTTGTCCCCCAACCAAATCTATGTTTTTTTTCTCCCACCCCTAGCCAGGGGAGGGGAAAAAAAGGTAATTCCCTTTGCAAATTCTGACCCACTCACCGGGAGCGCTTCGGACAGTATCGCTGTCCCCATCTTCACGATCACTTTGGTAGCCCTCCGGGGCACTGTAGCGCTCGCTGCCCAGACTGCTCTGGCTTTCTGATTTGGTACTACCCAAAGTCCGACCGACGCTCCTGCTTGGCGACTGAGCAGCCTCGCCACTGGAAACTGGAGAAAGCAGGAAAAAAAAACCAAACCACTGAACGTGATATTGAGCGTGAAAATCAGCCTGGAGAGGAAGCCAGTAGCGCAAAATCCCTAAAAATATAAATTGAATAGACTAGCGATAGCATCTAAGACAGTGGTTCTCAACCTGTGGGTCGGGACCCCATTTGGGGTCGATCGACCAATTCATGGGGGTCGCCAAGCAAGGCTGTCCGCCATTTTTTTTGTCCACCATTTTTTTCCCTTTTCCGGCGGGTGCCTTACCTCCCTTGGGCTGGGCCAGCTGGTGGTCGGCCTGCTCCGTCTCTGCTGCTTGCCAGCTACGCCTCGGCCGGTGCAGGGGGTGGAACCACGCATGCGCGGCGCTCCCGGGCAGGGAAAGTCCTCGACTTATGACCGGTTGGCTAGTCCTCGACGTACGACCGGTTTAGTCCTCGACTTACAACCGGTTTAGTCCTCGACTTACGACCGGTTTAGTCCTCGACTTACGACCGGTTGGGGTCGCGGCATTAAAAAGGTTGAGAACCACTGATCTAAGACTTATATACCGCTTCACAGGGCTTTACAGCCCTCTCTAAGCGGTTTACAGAATCAGCCTGTTGCTCCCCCCCAACAATCTGGGTCCTCATTTTACCGACCTCGGAAGGACGGAAGGCTGAGTCAACCTTGAACCGGTCAGGATCGAACTTCCTGGCTGTGGGCAGAGTCGGCCTGCAGTGCTGCATTCTAACCACCAGGGCTCCCAAAGGCACAATACTGGAACTATCACTTCATATACGTAATGAAATTTCACTTTAATGTATGCCGATTAGTGTACATTCAAAGTGACAATAAAGTTACTATTCTATTCTATTCTATTCTTTTCTATTCTATTCTATTCTATTCTATTCTATTCTATTATTCTTTCCTATTCTTAATTCTATTCTATTCTATTCTATTCTATTCTATTCTATTCTATTCCTAGTCTATTCCTAGTCTATTCCTATTCTATTCTATTCTATTCTATTCTATTCATGTAAGACAGGCAGAGCCTGAGGGTGAAGTGAAGAGAGGAATCAGCCTAGAATCGTTACGTTCCCACAAATGGTTCAACCCCCTCTTCAATTCCGTTGACTCTTATGTAGCACCAATTTGGTGCTGACCATTAGTTGACTTGATTCTTGTTCTAAAAGGAGTCCTTGACTTATATACCGCTTCACAGCACTTTAAGCGGTTTACAGAGTCAGCATACTTGCTCCCAACAATCTGGGTCCTCATTTTTCCGATTTCGGAAGGATGGAAGGCTGAGTCAACCTTGAACCGGTCAGGATCGAACTCCTGGCTGTGGGCGGAGTTATTAGCCTGCAATGCTGCATTATAACCTCCGGGGCTCCCAAAGGCACAATATTGGAACTATCACTTCAGGTAGAAGGTCAGGCAGAGCCTGGGGGCGGAGTCAAGACAGGAATCAGCCTGGAGTCGTTACATTCCCACAAATGGTTTAAATCAGTGGTTCTCAACCATTTGGGGTCGATCGGCCATTTCACGGGGGTCGCCAAGCAAGGTTGTCCGCCATTTTTTTTGTCCGCCATTTTTTTCCCCTTTTCTGGCGGGTGCTTTACCTCCCTTGGGCTGGGCCAGCTGGTGGTCGGCCTGCTCCGTCTCTGCCGCTTGCCAGCTACGCCTCGGCCGGCGCAGGGGGCGGAACCACGCATGCGCGGCGCTCCCGGGCAGGGAAAGTCCTCGACTTACGACCGGCTGGGTAGTCCTCGACTTACGACCGGTTTAGTCCTCGACTTACGACTGGTTTAGTCCTTGACTTACAACCGATTGGGGGTCGCGGCATTAAAAAGGTTGAGAACCACTGGTTTAAATTCAACCCCTCTTCAATTCTGTTGACTCTTATCTAGTGCCAATTTGGCGCTGACTGTTAGTTGACTTGATTCTTGTCTAAAAGAAGCCTTTGGCCTACAACCAAATAATAATAATAATAATAATAATAATAATAATAATAATAATAATAATAATAATAATAATAATAATAATAAAGTTGAAAGGGACCTTGGAGGTCATCTAGTCCAACCCCCTGCTCAACCAGGAGACCCTATACCATTTCGAATAAATGGCTGTCCAATCTGTTCTTAAAAACTTCCATGAAGGCAGGTTGTTCCATTGGTTAATTGTTCTAACTGTCAGGAAGTTTCTCCTTAGTTCTAGGTTGCTTCTCTCCTTGATGAGTTTCCATCCCTTCCTTCTTGTCCTGCCTTCAGGCGCTTTGGAGAATAGCTTGACTCCCTCTTCTTTGTGGCAGCCCCTGAGATATTGGAAGACTGCTATCATGTCCCCCCTCGTCCTTCTCTTCGTTAAACTAGACATACCCAATTCCAGCAACCGTTCCTTATGTGTTTTAGCCTCCAGTCCCCTGATCATCTTTGTTGCTCTTCTCTGTACTCTTTCTAGAGTCTCAGCATCTTTTTTACATCGTGGTGACCAAAACTGGATGCAGTATTCCAAGTGTGGCCTTACCAAGGCCTTGCAAAGTGGTATTAAGACCTCACGTGATCTTGACTCTATCCCCCTGCCAATGCAGCCCAGCACTGCGTTGGCTTTTTTGGCAGCTGCAGCACATGGCTGGCTCATATTTAGGTGATTGTCCACTAGGACTCCGAGGTCCCTCTCACAGTTACTACTATTGAGCAAGGTACCCCCTATACCAGTGGTGGCGAACCTATGGCACGCGTGCCAGAGGCGGCACTCAAAGCCCTCTCTGTGGGCATGTGCGCCATGCCCCAGAGATGGCAACCGCCCCTTTTCAACCAGCCGTCCACTAACTGACCGAGGTCCCACGTGGCCGCATGCATCCCAGCACGGCTGGTTTCACTCCCCCCCATCCCGTCCCTCCTGGCCTCGCATGCTCTCCTTTTCCCGGGCACGACCCACTGCATCGCCTCCTCAGCTGTCGGCCGGCCGTCCAGCTCAGAGGCAACTTCTCTGAACTGCTGGCGGTGGGCTGCGGAGCCCCAGAGTGCGTCGGTCGAGGGGCTAGCAGGCTGTGGCCCCCATGCGCTTGCTGGCCTCTGTATGCGGGGGCCGATGGTGTCAGGCAGCAGCCGCCCCAGCCCCTGCCTCGCCTTGCCCTGCGAGAATGGCACCCCTGCCTCGCCTTGCCTCGCCTCGCCCCGCAGGACGAGCCTCCTGCCCATCACCCCACCTGCCAGAGACCCCCTGGATCTCCCCCAACCCTGCCCGGCCCCCACAGGCATCTCTCCCCAAGAGCAACATCGAGGTGACCACGCCCACCTTGGCCACACCCACCCAGTCTGCCATGACCACTATAGCCACGCCCACCCAGTGGGCCACGCCCACCTGGCACCCGACGATAAATAAGTGGGTTTTGGGTTGCAGTTTGGGCACTCAGTCTCTAAAAGATTCGCCATCACTGCCCTATACTATACCTGTACATTTGGTTTTTCTTGCCTAAATGTAGAACCTTACTTTTTTCACCATTGAATTTCATTTTGTTAGATAGCGCCCAGTGTTCAAGTCTGTCCAGGTCCTCCTGTATCCTAAGCCTGTCTTCTGGAGTGTTGGCTATTCCTGCCAGCTTGGTGTCATCCGCAAATTTGATGAGTTCCCCATCTATCCCCTCGTCCAAATCGTTGATGAAGATGTTGAAGAGCACTGGGCCTAGAACAGAGCCCTGGGGCACCCCACTACACACTTCCCTCCATGTAGATGCATTTATTGACCATTTTTTGACCACAGCAAATAGCAATGGCCCTGAGACTTATATACCACTTCACAGCACTTTACAGCCTTCTCTAAGCAGCTTACAGAGTCAGCCTGTTGCCCCCCTCCCCAGCAATCTGGGTCCTCATTTTACCGACCTCGGAAGGATGGAAGCCTGAGTCAATTTTGAGTCGGTCAGGATCGAACTCCTGGCAATGGGCAGAGTTAGCCTGCAATACTGCATTCTAACAACTGCACCACCACGTATGATTGATGAATGAATGAATGAATAAATGAACAAACAAACGAATGAATGAACGAATGAACTAACGAACCAAAATCCATTCCCACTGTCAATGCAAATAGAAACAGAAAATTGGGACTCAGCTGCGGTCGTTACTCTTCCCCCGCCTTCTGGAAATCCAGCCAATGGGTTAGTTCAGTAACCGCAAGAAGTGTGAGATCACAACGGCACAACTTTGCAGCTTTTCGACCCGCGAGTTTGCTCACCAGAGTCTGCTGGGTGTTTCCTGATCTGGAAACTGAAACTAGAGTGCCTGTTCCTGGCTGACAGTTTTGACCTCCTCGACTAGAGTCTCAGCGACAGCGACAGCGACCTCTGTTGACGCCCTTTTGCTTGTTTTCCCACCCTCCACTCACGGTAGTAAGGAAACAGAGTGAATTGTTGGTGTGGGGAATTGCTGTTGCAAAATCCAGGGTTAAGACGAATATTCCGTTCCTGAGCCTATACATTTGGCTGATGTATTTACCCAACATCGCCCCCCACCCGCCAAAAAAGAGTTATAAGTTGTGGTATTTTGCCGACAACACTAATAGAAGTCAGTAATACAGGTAGTCCTCGACTTACAACCAAAACTGAGCCCAAAATGTCTGTTGTTCTGCAAGACGGTTGTTACGTGCGTTTTGCCCCATTTTACGACCTTTCTTGCCACAGTTGTTAAGTGAATCACTTCATGTGTTGTGTTAGTAACACGGTTGTTGAGTGAAACTGGCTTCCCCGTTGACTTTGCTCGTCAGAAGGTCACAAAAGGGGATCACGTGACCCCGGGACACTGCAACTGTCATAAGTACATGCCAGTTTCCGAGCATCTGAATTTTGATCATGTAACTACAGGGATGTTGTGTGAAAAATGGGCCTAAGTTACTTTTTTTGGGTGCCGTTGTAACTTCGAACGGTCACTAAACGAATGGCTGAAAATGGAGGACACACCCCTACAGGATCCTCAGAATATTACAGACCGTTTAACGGGGAAAAAATGGAAGCATTTTAGCAAATTGCCAGCTCTAAGATGAATAAACAGAAGCCCAAGAGGCGGAAAAATATATATGTCTACAAGACCAAAAACTGTTGATTGCAAAGATTGGTTTTAAAATTAAGATATTTAGGAATTAAATTACATTCGCTACCAAGAACTGTATGGTGTTTCGGAATAATGACGTTAAAACGTGAAACGAGATCAAAACGGATTTAATGAGGTGGGACAAATTACAATTGTCATTATTAGATAGCATCTCAGTTCTAAAAATGAACGTCTCAACAAGTCTGTCGTTTTAACACAGGCAGTCCTCAACTTACAACAGCTCATGGACAGCCATTTGTCTGAAATGGTATAGGGTTTCCTGCCTGAGCAGGGGGCTGGACTAGATGACCTCCAAGGTCCCTTCCAACTTTATTATTATTATTATTATTTAGTGACTGGTCAAAGTTACAATGGCAATGAAAAAAGGGACTTAGGATGGTTTCTCACACTTACGACCGTTGAAGCATTCCCCAGGGTCACGTGATCAAAATCCAGACGCTTGGCAACTGGCTCACATTTATGACGGTCGCGGCATCCCGGGGTCACGTGATCCCCTTTTGCGATCTTCTGCCAAGCAAAACCAATGGGGAAGCCGGATTCACTTAACAACCGTGCTACTCACTTAACAACTGCAGTGAATCACTGAACAACTGTGGCAAGAAATGTCGTAAAACAGGACAAAAAAAAAAGCCCCTGGAATTAAATAGAAATTTTTGCAAGAGGAGGGGTTAATATGACCTAATTCAAAATTGTACTTCTTTCTTCGGAAACCGATAACTTTACAAAATATATAGACTATATAGGCAGTCCTCGGCTTACAACCACAACTGAGCCCAAAATTTCTATTGCTAAGTGAGACAGTTGTTAAGTGAGTTTTGCCCCATTTTACGACCTTTCTTGCCACAGTCATTAAGTGAATCGCTGCGGTTGTTAAGTTAGTCACACGGTTGTTAAGTGAATCTGGCTTCCTGCATTGACTCTGCTTGTCAGAAGGTCCCAAAAGGGGATCACGTGAGCCCAGGACGCTGCGACCGTCATAAGTACAAGTCATTTGCCAAGCGTCCAAATTTTGATCACGTGATTACGAGGGATGCTGCAACGGTTGTAAGTGTGAAAAACGGTCATAAGTCAGTTTCCTTCCTGAGCAGGGGGTTGGACTAGATGACCTCCAAGGTCCCTTCCAACTACTACTACTACTACTACTACTACTACTACTACTACTTCTTCTTCTTCTTCTTCTTCTTCTTCTTCTTCTTCTTCTTCTTCTTCTTCTTCTTATTATTATTATTATTATTATTATTATTATTATTATTATTATTATTATTATGGATCATCGCACAGTCAGCCAGATGTTCAGACTGGATTTGGCATTTTTGTCCACCTATCGAGTCCTTCCCAAGGACCTGGGATAGGCAGATGTGGATGTTTGATGGTATTACAGATATCGTCGCAGGATGGAAGCAGTTCCTAGTAAGGCTGCCTTTTGCAATTGACTGATAGCGAATTTGTCAATGCCAATGGTGTTCAAGTGGTGCTCCAGTTGTTTTGGGATTGCACCCAAGGCCCCTATTACTATTGGTACCACCCTTGCTTGCCTTTGCCACAGTCTTTCTATTTCTATTTGTAGGACTTTGTATTTTGTTATCTTCTCCAGTTCTTTCTCGTCTATTCTGCTGTCTCCAGGCACTGTCACGTCCACTATCCAGACTTTTTTGTCTTTCTTATCGACAATTGTTAAGTCCGGGGTGTTATGTGGCAGGTGCTTGTCTGTTTGAATTCTGAAGTACCAGAGCAGTTTAATTTTATCATTTTCTATGACTTTCTCTATTTTATGATCCCATCAGTTCTTCCTTACAGGCAAATGATATTTCTTGCAGATCTTCCAATGCACCATTGTTGCTACTTTGTCATGCCGCTGCTTGTAGTCAGTCTGAGCGATCTTCTTGCAGCAGCTTACCAGGTGGTCCCCTGTTTCTTCAGCTTCTTTGTATAGGCGGCACTTACTATCTGTTGCTGTCTTCTCAATTTTGACATCATCATCATCATCATCATCATCATCATCATCATAATAAAGTTGGAAGGGACCTTGGAGGTCATCTAGTCCAATCCCCTGCTCAGGCAGGAAACCCTATACCATTTCAGACAATTGGCTGTCCAGTCTCTTCTTAATTATTATTATTATTACTTTTTTCAGTGCCGTTGTAACTTTGAACCGTCACTAAAGGAATGGTTGTAAGTCAAGGATTGCCTGTACTAGAACTAGAGGGATGTGACTTGAAAATTTGGATGGCACAGCTGTTTAGGGTACACTAAAGATAAATTCAATATAAATTTTAAGCATCGCTTCTTTAAATGCGCTTTTTGAGAATCGGGAAAAAGGACCGACAGCAAAGCCCCAGGAAAGATTTCTTCAGAAGAGAAACGACAATTAAACCCACTTGGCTGACTTATGCCGAGCGATTAACATCCGTTGGAAGAGAAAAGAGAGAAAATCTGAAGAAAGGAGATTTTACTTGTCAATGGTTTACGTACCGCTCCACCGTTTTGAGAGATTTAAAAACGGATAAAAAAGAATTCTGTTTTGACAGATGAAAGAACTGATTTTTGAAAAAGACTTTTGTACCAGCGACGAACATCTTATTGCTAAGGGATGTAAATTGACATTGACAATGAGTCAGGAAGATGATCAGGGGACTGGAGGCTAAAACATATCAAGAACTGTTGCTGGAATTGGGTATGTCTATTTTAATGAAAAGAAGGACGAGGGAGGACATGATAGCAGTGCTCCAGTATCTCAGGGGCTGCCCCAAAGAAGAGGGAGTCAAGCTATTCTCCAAAGCGCCTGAAGGCAGGACAAGAAACAACGGATGGAAACTCATCAAGGAAAGAAGCAACCTGGAAGTAAGGAGAAACTTCCTGACAGTGAGAACAATTAACCAGTGGAACAACCTGCCTCCAGAAGCAGTGAATGCTCCAACACTGGAAGTCTTTAAGAAGAGACTGGGCAGCCATTTGTCTGAAATGGTATAGGGTTTCCTGCCTGAGCAGGGGGTTGAACTAGATGACCTCCAAGATCCCTTCCAACTTTATTATTATTATTGATTATCGCACAGTCAGCCAGATGTTCAGACTGGATTTGGCATTTATAATAATAATAATAGTAAAGTTGGAAGGGATCTTGGAGGTCATCTAGTCCAACCCCCTGCTCAGGCAGGAAACCCTATTCCATTTCAGACAAATGGCTGTCCAGTTTCTTCTTAAAAACCTCCAGTGTTGGAGCATTCACCGCTTCTGGAGGCAGGTTGTTCCACTGGTTAATTGTTCCTACTGTCAGGAAGTTTCTCCTTAGTTCTAGGTTGCTTCTCTCCTTGATGAGTTTCCATCCGTTGCTCCTTGTCCTGCCTTCAGGCGCCTTGGAGAATAGCTTGACTCCCTCTTCTTTGGGGCAGCCCCTGAGATACTGGAAGACTTACTATCATGTCCCCCCTCGTCCTTCTCTTCGTTAAACTAGACATACCCAATTCCAGCAACCGTTCCTTATATGTTTTAGCCTCCACGGGGGAAAGCCAGAATCATTTCACAACCGTGTTCCTAACAACCGTGTTCCTAACTTAACATCTGCAGTGATTCAAGGAAGGTCGTAAAATGATTCAAGGAAGGTCGTAACAAGGAAGGTCGTAAAATGGGCCTCTTAGCATTGTAAATTTCATCGTGGCGATAAGTGGAGTACCATCTGCACTATTGCTATTTAACCCCACTTATCCTTTCTATCCCCCTTCAATTTGTATTTTAACTTTTTTCCCTTTATTTTGGAAACTTCATAAAATCCTTTTTAAAAAAAACAAAACACACACACACACAAAACAGACAGACCCAGAACTTTGCAGCTGTCACAAGCTGAGAGTGACTCAAACGCCCATATGCTGGCTGTTAAATCAATTCCGATGTTCTTTTTTTTTTTTTAAGAAAAAAAAACAACAGGACCCCCCCCTTCAAAAAAAAAAACCTACAAGGGTATATTAGCACTAAACCTCATTAGAAAAGCTCTCCGTTCCCACCCCCCCATCTGGCATTTCTGCTGTTTCTTGCAAACTCAATTGAAGGGAGACAAGCAAAGGTACAAGCCTCAATTTAGCTGACAAAAGACCCAGGGTGGCTATTTGAACTGGGAAATTGTTCCCACTTTACAGTGGGGGGGGGAATAAAAATAATAGGCCTGCACCCCCTCCTGCTATTTAAGCAGCCTGCGGGGAGGAAATCTTCTGTAGCAGGCAGCTGTT